TCCCACAGCCCATCCCCCACAGCTCTGATCTACCCCCCCATTCCATGCTGCTGTGCCCCCTACACTAAAATGCGGCCGCGGCAGCGCTGTGAAGTGCGAGTGTAGTCGCGCCGCCAGCGCTGCGAGAGCTCTCTTGCAGCGCTGCAAGTACTCCACCTCTCCGAGGGGAATAGCTTGCAGCGCTGCGAGAGAGCATGCAGCGCTGCAGGCACTGATTACACTGGCGCTTTACAGCGCTGCACTCGCTGCGCTCAGGGGGGGTGTGTGTTTTTTCACATCCCTGAGCCCAGCAAGTGCAGCGCTGTGAATTGCCAGTGTAGCCAAGGCTTAAGTGTAGATAAGCCCTGAGAGTGGCACAGCTAAATACAAGGTGGGACATATTGTTTAGCATAAGTAGTTAACACATATTTCAAGATACCATTCATGGTGAAGTAGCCCATTAACGCTATTTCTCACATTATGTGAGCAGTTGCTGCACACCAATGGTCACCTATCCCAATTTAATTATGGGGAAAAATTCATTGTTGGTGTGCCTTTAGTAGAAGGCTACGACCATATATAGTATAAAATTTATTGGGGAAAGAAATATTGTGGTTTATTAAAAATGTTGTAACCTTTTTCTATCTTTGTAGATGTATTATATTATAGTTAATATTTTCTATTTCACAACTATTATTTACTGTTTATACTTGCGTAGGAGACTTTTCATTAAGTCTATGCTATTGTAAAATTTGGAATAATGTTATTTAATAAAGCACCAGAGTGGAAATGTTTATTGGCATCTGCTATAACAAGCTCCCATTGCTACATCTTATACGGTACCAAAAGTTTCATTTTGCCTTAATTTGTACTATCATACTTTGTGAATCTAGGTCTTTCAGTCAGTTTAACTATAGACAGGTTGCTTTAAATAGCATATGTAATGGCTAGGCTTGGCAATCCTATTACTCCTGGGGAAAGTCTGTGCCATTGTGTGCATATAGAATACACATCCCCTTGCAGATTTCTTTGCTTCCCCGCAGAAAAATGATTTTCTGATGGGGAAGCAAAGGGAAGCTGCAGAAGCAGTCATGCACTCCCTCCCCAGCAGCACGGGCTTGTTTGTGGAGAGGCAGTGGTGCAAGTAGAAATCATTTCTTGCTGGTACTGCATGCATGGGAGGGCACGTGACCTCCCCACATGACCCTCCATGTGACTCCTCCCCGCCCAGCGCAGGGCCCCTGCCTTCTGTCAAGGGAAGGGAAATCTATTCTCACTGTGAAAGATGGTGTTTGGAGTCACATGGGCAAGTTACATGTCAATCACTCCCAGCCATATTCTAGTTAGAATATTCACAGGAAAAGTCCATTTAGTGTAGACTGGTGTTTTCCAGGGTCCATTGTGAGGTAAGTGTTTCTTAATGGGCCATTCAACTTGACTTGTTCCTTCATGTGCTGGCTAAATACCTTGTGGGCTTTACCACTGGAGCAAACATATAGTAAACATAGCTAATATTCATAACTTCAGATACCAAGATGATACATGCATAGAAATAGCATAATCATAAGTACAGTACCATCTATTTCACATACATGCCCCACTGGAGTTTTGTTATCTGTTATGTAACAATAGAGATGGAGCCAGTGACGTGACTCTGTTCAGCCTAAAAAGACAAGGTTAATTTTTAGTTGTTCAGGTATAACTGCACCTTTGAGCCTAGTCAGTTAGGGCATACTGGCACACATTCAGGTTAATGCTTAAACACACCGAGGCCAGCTGTAAAATGCAACTGATTTTTCATTTGTTGGATCTTTGTTCAAATCTCACTCTGTTTCCACTATAAAAGGGGATATAATGCTTCCATATACAAAGAATAAAGCATACATTTTTTCAACCTCAAATGAGTTTTATTTTTGATAAAGGAAAACAATGAAAAGAACAAAAAGAGAGAACCAAGTCTGTGTATGTCTCCTGGTTTATGGGCACCGAGCAACTTTGGGAACAAAACAGGCAATGAGCTCTGCAGATATGAACAATTCCTAGAAATTGAAAGATACAATACACACAAAACACAAAACCATCACATCTACCACACACAAGGATACACAAAAGGGAAGGAGCAGAGAGGCAAGGAAGATATGAATGGAGAAAAGGAGAGGAAACGTAAAGAGGAAAGATTTATAGGAGAGTCTTCCTTGATCTTTGCGTTCCCTCAGCCAGGTATAGTGCATTGTTCCTAGACAAAAACAACGAGGAGTCCTGGTGGCACCTTAGAGACTAACAAATGGGGGGTCAGTTGGTAAGGCAACTTCCATCTTTTCATGTGCCGTAATATATATACTGCTTACTGTATTTTTCACTCCATGCATCTGATGAAGTGGGTTTTAGCCAACGAAAGCTTATGCCCAAATAAATTTGTTAGTCTCTAAGGTGCCACAAGGACTCCTCGTTGTTTGTGCTGGTACAGACTAACACGGCTACCACTCTGAAGCCTGTTCCTAGACAGTGGCTTATATACAATAATAATTCCCCCAGTGTTTCAATCCTATATTCACTACTGTTTAGCTGAGTTTTCTGGTTACATAATTAGATTGAACTCCCTTGTATATTATTGTAGACAGAGACCTACATCCTTTCCCTGTTTTATTGTTTGGTATTAGATTCATCTTGTAATGCCAGGTTCGTCATCAGACATTTTTCCAGAACATGAAGGTCACATCTGGAAACAATAGCAGCAGAGGTGTCACATGCGGAATAGAAAACAACAACCCCCAATGGCATGTAGCCAGATATCGAGGGACAGAGGCTGCTCAGCCTGCAGAACCACAAGAGCTGCTGCCCAAGAGTGCATCTTTCATTTATCCAGTCAGCCAGGCCACTTAGGTCCTTTAGTTTTGTGCCCATACGGATTTCAGTCAGCTTCTTCATAGCATTGTTTGTGGGTGGAGGACACCAACGACCAACTCCTGTGCCTTTGACGTGATCCTGACCAATGTAAAACAGCAATACATATGCTAACAAACTTAAACAAAGCCTTTAAGTTTGTTAGCATATGTATTGTGCTGTTAAGAATAAATGCCCTAGCCATGTTCTGCAGAGTGCAGCCCCGCCCCTCCAGCTGTGTCCCGTGTGGGCGGGGGGAGGGGCGGAGCTGCCGGCATGGGGCTGTTTGGAGGCCCCACGTCTTTCTGGTACCCTGTACCAGCTAGAAATCTCTTGCAGGTAGAGGGTGCCGGAGGGGACTGCCATACTTGCACTCCCGCAGAAAGGTAAATTACTGCGGGGGGAAGCTGTGTGGGGCTGGGGATGCCCCAGCCGGTGGCTCCTACCCTGCGCCTGTCTTAGTTGCTAGTCCCAGCTGAGCTGCGGGCACGGGAGGATGGGACTTGCTCATCCTGTGGAAGGAGCTGCTGGGGCT